AATGGAAACAAGTTTCCAGACAATGTTACAGGAGAAAATCAGAAAAGGCTTTAAGTCAACAGCTTCTATTTCCAGTGCATTATTGGCCTAATTTCGATGGCCTCATCCCTCTTCTTTCTCAGTAGCAGAATCTTTGAAAAAGTTTGTAACCTGGGATCCATGGATGGGCTTTCAAGACCCAATTATGCATGATTCATGTTTGTGTGTCTATTTCCCTGGGGAGATAGGCTGTGTTGTCTTCTACCAAATTCACAAAGGGATCCTTGACCCATAAAGAGCTCCACTCTAGAGAGAATAGCAGCTATCATTTATTAAGTTCTTACACTTGCTGGGCACCGCTCTTAAGTGCTTCACATGCATTACCACATTGAGTCTTCACAACTCTAAGAGGTAGGAATTGTTAATCTCCATTTAAAGACAAGGAAACTGAGGCACAGAAATAGGCTTCTAGTCACTCAGCCAGCAAGTGGCAGAGCTAGAGTGTAAATCCAGACAATTTGGTGCCTTAGCTCAAACTGCTAACCGATTATACTGTGGGGTAGCATATTGGTATCCTCAGAACTATTTCCTTTAGCCATAACAGTGTTAAAAAAATTTTTTTGAATGCTTTTAGGAATAGCACAATCCCCAGTGTTTTATATTTTCTTACTTTACACATTTACCGTTACCTGCCAAACTACTCCTTTTGGTATGGAGCATTTCTATTACAGAGGGCCTAATTGAATCTCACTTGAAATATTTTCCTCTTCGGTCTTTGAAAGTTCCCATGTTAACTGTTTCTCAAGTGGACTGTAGTTCTGTCTTATAAACATTATCCTTTCAGTCACTAGTGTGTTTAAGCTCAAATGAATAAAAGGCTAGTAATGATTAAAATGAACCTTATGACAAATCATAGGAAAAGTCCTGTCAATAAAAATGGGAAAGGTGGGGCCGGCCCCGTGGCTTAGCGGTTAAGTGCGTGCTCTCCGCTGCCGGCGGCCCAGGTTCGGATCCCGGGTGCGCACCGAGGCACC